AGGTATGTATAAGGCAATCAGACATAGGCTCAAGTAAAAAGTTTAATTTTAGGTTTAGTAATTTGTTTCTTGAACATTTAGAGTGAGGTCATCACAACTCTGAGATTTAGTCCTACTGTAGGTCCAATGAGCAAAGGACCAGATTCAACTGAACTATGGTTAACCTTAATTTAACAATGCAAAGATTTACAGTGTAAGTGCAGGAATGGTATGCCACCAGGGTCTGGTGTGAGTTCGAATTGTAGCTGCAGAGTTCTGGACATAGTGCATCTTACAGAGAACAGTGTTAGGGAGCCCATAGAGCAGTGAGTGGCATTAACTGTGATGTTTTAAATGCAAGCTGTGATGTTTTAAATGCATGAATCAAGCATTCAACATCAGACATTAATAGAAAATGCCTAATGTGGGCAATATTTCTAAGGTGAAAAGAGGTTAAATACTTCCTGCAAGTCAGATAAGAGAAGAATTACTTAAAGACATTACCATTGATAGACAAAAATGTTTGCAAATCTTTGAGTAAATTGAATGATTTACTGTATCAAATGTTGCACTAAGATCAAGGAACATAAGGATACTTATAGCCTCAAACTCAACGAGCAAATCATTTACAACCCGGACAAAAGCCTTCTCAGTGCTATGATTAGTACGAAAACTGTACTGGAATGATTCACTCAAATCATTAGCTCTTGTGTGTGTCTGTAATTGATATGTTCCAAAACCTTACATAGAAATGGTTATATAGAAATTTGTCTGCAGAAAAACTAGGGCTAAAATAGTTGTCCAAATCAGGTACAAGTCTAAGGGTTGATTCAGATAATTGTAGATTTATAGCATCAATCTTGGATTGAAAGAATTGCAAAAACCTAAGACAGATGTCTGGGGTGGAAGAAAGAGCAAAGTTGTCACTTTATGACTTCCTTATCCAGAGTTGATTGTATCCAAGATATACTGTAGGAGGACCTGGTCCAAAATATAGCAACTTTATAGACTTGTTTATTACATAAAGTTTTTTTTTTCCATAAGCACTCCAGATGCTGTCCAGTTCAGGCATATACCAGGGAGAGAAGTGCTTAAAGGAAACTAAGCAAGTTTTAAACAAGGCACGTTTATTAAAAATACTAGTTAGCATAGAGTTACAATTACTGCCTAGGTCAAAGATGACATGTCTCGATTGAGGGGAGAAGTAAGCATTGCATTTGAAAAATTAGAGTGGTTCACAGCTTAGAGATTTCTAAAACAAACTGCGTGTTTATATCTCACTGATGAAAGAGGGATACAGACATTAAAAAACACAACCTTAAAATCAGAAATTTGTAGTTCAATGTCATGAATGTCATTAATTTTGAGACATTCTGGGTAAAGATGGGAAATATTACTAGTTGAATG